TAATTAAACCTTTATAACCTGGATTTGGGGAAAACAAATCCACAGCCCAGTGATGCTTGGGTTTTGAGTTTCATTATCTTGGAAGTAGAGATAACTTTAACAGAAATAGAGAAACTAAAAGTAACAACCCATTTACATCATAATGATGAGTTGAGATTTTAGAGAGTGGTTGTGAGGCGAGTGGATGACATTGAGGCGTAGCTTAACAGCTGAAGCCGGGGTATAGACTGGACCTCTGAAGAAGAGAAGAGAGAGCACACACAGACCAAGCATGCAGAATCTCTGCAGTCAACTGTAAGAGAAGGAAAAGGTGCCAGGAAGCAACCAGGAAACTCATATGAGATGTAGGAGAGCCAGAATAACGCAGACCCACAAAATGAGAAGGCAGGAAAGTGATGGGGTTAAACAGGAAGGACAGAGTGATCTAAGGCCAAAGTCTCCTCCCCAAACCTAGCCTGATGATTTTCACTTCACTTAGCCATTCTACCTGAAGCTCTAGTTATTCCTCTTGTGTTAGTAAGAATCAAGAGGGTGAGGTATGAGTTGCCTTTCTCGCTATAATATAAATTCTAGTATTGGTTCTGATTGCTTTCCACCTAACCTTTAGGGATGAGATCATCTATGCAGCAATGTTATTTATTAGAAGCACTGAAAGGAAAGGAAGTGAGAGAGTTAATTTTGGAGTTCTGGTTGCTTGGGGAGGACTATGGAGATCATTCTGGATAGCTAGAGGATAGCACTGGGTAGGGGAATAAGAAAATGAGGTTCTAGAGGGCTGGGAGAAGGATGCAGAAAGAATGTGGAAAAACATCAGTGAAAATTTGCAAATCATAGAGGAAGGGCTTACTTTTCCCCTTCTTCCTAAAGACAAAGTAAAAAGCAGCATCTCTATTTGGGGCAGGGCAAGTTTTGGGAATGGAAGCTCTCTGCTACTGAGCTACCAGTTCTTTTTACTTTGCTAAGCTGTCTAGGCTGGCCCTGATTTTGACAATCCTCCTGTCTTAGTCTCCCAAGCAACTTGGATTACAGGCATATACCACTGTGCACAGCAACTTCTCTCTATAAAATTGGGAGGATACCACACAGAAAGAATTATTCCAATAATAATAGTGATAATTATTATACTGCAGAATTCCCATATACCAGGCTCTGTTCAAATTAAGAACCTGGTAGCAACCCTAAGAGGTAAGCACTGTTATCTCCATCTTACAGATGAGGGAGATGTGCTATTATCCTGGCCTCAGGTCTGCAGCTTCTAGGGTTGTACATTGGAGAGGACAAAGAAATGAAGCAGCTTCTTTAGCTAGAAGCCTTCCACCTCCCAAAACTAAGCTGGGGGGTTTCTGTCACATGGAGAACATAAGCCTTCCTGTGGGGGTAGGGAAAGAGGGACATTCCCTGACATCACCCATGAGAGGACATGAATATCATCTACGGCTTTGGTCTGTCTCTAGCCATAGATTTTAAACTGGAAGGGAGTTGGTGTGTATAAGGAACAATCATGGTATAGACACTGAACTTGGAGTCAGGAAACTTAGGTCTGGACTTCACAGGTGACCTTGAGCACCTGTAAGTTCCTTTGGGCTGCACTGGCCTCAATTATAAAAATAAAGGCAGTGGGGTAGAGTTAAATCTCTGAGGTCCTTTCCAGCTTAAAAACTGTATAATTTCCAGAACCTGGTTGTTGGGTGTGACAAATTATGATCTCTCTCTCCCACCGCATATGTTCCAGAGCGTGGTGTTTTGGGTATAAATATGCCAATGTCTGCTGTCTGTACGTGTGTGTTCCAGCTATATGACTACAACTTTTTGTTTGTGGGTAAACAAGGGATGCTTCGTGGTTTTCTTCAGGAAAGACCAAATGGCTCTGGGAGGCAGAAAACTCTACGATCAGTGATTCAAGTCATGGTGAGAAGGCAAATGATTCCAGAAAAGGTTTGAATCTGTAATGATTCATTGTCAGTTCTTTTTGTTTTTCTATTCTTTTTGCAACCAAATACAATTAATTCTTGACATCAGTCCTGTAAGATCGCACAGGTTTTTATAGAAGAAGCAAACGAAACTCAGGGATTAAGGAACTTGTTCAAGATTACACAGCTCATTAGAGCCAGACCAGAACTGAGATCTCATGCTGCTGAAGCCTGGCTTGTGTGTTCTTCTCAATACTATGTGGGGGGCTGGGGATGTGGCTCAAGTGGTAGCGAGCTAGCCTGGCATGCGTGCGATCCTCAGCACCACATACCAACAAAGATGTTGTGACCGCCGATAACTAAAAAATAAATATTAAAATTCTCTCTCTCTCTCTCTCTTTAAAAAAAAAAAGTACTATGTGGGGTGTGAGAAGACAGCCTATGTACAGGACACAGTTGGAGGAGCCATGGTTTTTAGAAGGCAGAGTGGAGGATGCTCCAGCCAGTAAGCTGCAAAGTGGATGCCAGGCTGACTTGCCTGCTATGTTCCCACTCTGCACTTACTGGCTGTAGCATCCTTTCATTCAGAGCAGAGCCTCACATGACTTAAAGATAAAGGCCATTTTTAGGAGCCATGAACTGGATTAATTAGAATGGCAGAGGGCAAGGATGAGAAGCATTGACTTTCTAGAGTTGACTAACTTTCTCCCAGGACTCACGTCTATAAAATAGGGATGTGATCATACCCTCACACAGAGTTGTGAGGATCAAAGGCAATGATTGGGTTGAAGTGCCTCTGAAAAGTTACATATACATTTGCTCTTTCATTCAACCAATCAACATTGATTGAGCACCTACAATATCCCAGGGATTTTTAGGAACTGGAGGAATATATATATATATGTGTGTGCAGCTCAGAATCACATTACATATTATCTCTCTTCTCATCCTCATTTTGTCTCTTCTTGTATAGGACCAGATAATGGGAGATGGGCCCAGTTGTCCTACCCAGTCCCCCAGCTTCTGTCCCAGAGAATTGCAGCTATGGCTAAGCCTCCAGGTTTAAATTCCATTGGCAGAGAAATCCCTCAGCTGTAGCTCATTCAACAAATCATCCCTTCATTTCCTGTGAGCCAGGCATGGTTATAGGTGTTGGGGATACATGGTAAATGAACAAAGTCCTGTCCCTTGTAGAGCTGTCAACTGGAAAGTTGAGCCTTAAATCAACACCCAAATAAATATATACTCAAATCATAGTGAAGGGGGCATGAGGTGGGGAGGGAGGAACAGAACCCAGTTTAAAGGCCTCTCTTTGGAGGCATGAGAATAGTCTGTGGAGGAGCCCTCTGGGCAGAGGAAACAGCTCTCTAGGTCAGAGGCCCCTGAAGTAGGAAGGAACACAGTGTCTTCAAAGATGTGACAGGAAAAAAGTGGGGCAGAGCCCACAGCAAGCAGGATGGTGGTTCTCCATGAGATTGGAGTGAGAGGTAGGGGCAGGCCACGCTGGGTCTTGGGGACAGAGGTGCGGAATCCTCTGTAAGGGTACTCTGCTTTGAATGCCTTCTTCTCCCAGTGCAGTGAAGAAATGAGTTGGCTTGTTCAGTTCGATTTTACTGGCCTTTGCTTCTGATGAACAGTTAGAGATTACTTGGAGAAATCTGGCATAGCACTAACCACCAAAAATAGTCAACATTAGGTCCTCCTCATTTGCCAAGTCACCTTGAAACTCATCTGATCCAGAGCCAATGGAACTGGATGGGTGTAAAGAATTTCACCCCCACTCCTTGTACTGATCACAGATCTATAGCAATAAATTCACCAATTCACTGTCATTGTGCCTGCTGCATAGGGATTCAGTTTGCTTAGATGACTGATGTCAATGGGGGTAGTTTATTGACTTACCCCTTAAAACCTAGAAGAGGAGGTAAATACGTGCAAATAACTGTAATAAATAGAAGAATGTAATAAAAGCCACAAGAGTAGTAAGGGGCAGGTATTATGGAAATAATAAGACTCTTTCAGTTACATGTTATAGGAGTCACTGTGCTCTTCTCTGCAAAGGAAACCAACACCACAAACACTGCCTCCCTTAGGGGATCACAGGACATGAAGCCAGAGAGAGACAGGGGCTCACTGCCCTGCAAGTGGTGATGCAAAATGGTACTTTTGGTGCTTGTCTGGGAAGAATTAGCAATATGGAATAAGAGCTTCGAAAAATATTCTATTTGACCCAAAAATTTCATTTCCAGGAATCTATCCTTAGACAAAAATCAGATTTGTTCAAAGATTTATGCATAATTACATTATGGTACATCATCATGATGGAGTAGTATCTGAATAAAATTTCAGAAGCAGAGTGGTGACTTTTGGCAAGGCTCAAGATATCATTTTAAAGAGATGTGCCAACGAATCGTTACAATGTAATAGGATAAATGTTTTGACAGATGACGATGAAATGGGAACAACTGGGGGTGAGAAGAAAGAAGTGTCTCAGGAACTGACTTTCGAGGTGACTCTCAAATGCTGTGGAGGGGGTTCCAGGTGGAAGGGAAAGGATCAAGTGGCCACCCCCACATTCTGAGGAATGGGATTGTAATACACTTCTTGAGAAGGCTTGCAGCAGCCATACCTCTCATCCGCCGCCTCGCCAAGCCGGTTGTCTTCCCGTAAGTGAGTTGGAGCACCAGGGTGGCCATCAGGATGGGTGACGCCCTCCCACTGGAGGAGGGATGCGGCAGCAGACTGGGTCGCCGGGAGCTGGAAGCAACGCTCAGCCCAGGGCCTGCGGGTCAGGCCTCCCGCGAGCGAAATAAGTCTCACGGCCAACGTGGCCTCTCTGTGTAGCTCTTCCTGCAGCGCCAAAAACCACCCGCAGTCTACTACCCAGCGCGCAAGCGCAGTGGGCCGAGGAACCGGCGGTGTGAAGTTTCACACCTAGAAAGATGGAGGGTGAATGAGGCCTACCTGGTTTAAGAGCCCTACTGGGAGGTAAAGGGCCAAACCCAGCAGGGAGAGGGCACAGAGCTGGAGCTCCCCTTCTGCTTGGTTTTCCCTGCCGAAGGTCTCCCCGGCCTCCGCCCTGCTCTCTTTGGTCCTGTCCCTGGCTCCCTCAGTCGGCCTCCCCCGCAGCAACCCCTTTCGGATCCCCTCTCTAGCCCCTGAGGCATCCTTCTGCTCTGTCCCCTACCGGGTTTCTAAGGGGCAGGGATGGGGTGGTTTGAGGGCCAGTAGCTGCGGGTGGGGGCAGGGGAGGACAGAAGTCCCTGGCCTACCTGCAAGCCCCGCCCTCTGACCCTGCATTGGGACCCCTGCCCGCCTTCAACAGTGGAGGATTTGGTCTGAATTGTTTCTTCCTTGGCTGTTGTGGATCTTCCTGATTCTGGACCCAATCTTTAAAGGGGCTGGGGCCACCCTGGTCTTTCAAACCTAGTCATTATGAACTTGGACATGAGTGGGGCTGTTTACTAAAGATAATAGGAGCTCTAGACAAAATCAGATCCTTCCATGGCTTCCTCTACTTGCTTATGCTTCTCTAGTCTGTGGGGTCGCTGGAGGTCTGGGTAGATGGGGGATCCTGAGAAATGTAAGGGGACGACGTCTTCTCTTTAAAATTCCTTTCTAGTCACCTGCACTCTCCTGGTAGTCAGAGTATCAGCTCACTAGTGTCTTATTCTTGTCCTTTTGGCCCAGAGTATGGCTCATGTGGATGAAGCAGCCCGCAGGTTGTCCCAAACTGGGACAAGTCTCTATGCAGTGCTGGAGCTTAAGAAGGGTGCCTCACCTGAAGAGATCAAAAAGGCCTACAGGTTCAGACCCCAGCTCTTTATTGAACCTTGAGATTTCCCCCACTTAATCCCTGTTGTTTCTACCTTGATTTCTGACCCATTTGTAAACCCCCCCCCCAAGAAGTCTTTTTTAAAAAATATTTTTATTGTTGATGAAATTTTTTATTTTATTTAATTATTTGTATATGGTGCTGAGAATCGAACCCAGTGCCTCACACATGCTAGACAAGCACTCTACCACCAAGCCACAATCCCAGCCTCCCTAAGAAATCTTTATTTGAGGAACAAAGGAGGCTATCAGCCTCTTTAACATAATATGAGAAAACTTTTAGACCTTGACTACTTACCTCCATCCTTCATACCACATCTCATGCATTCCTCTGCACTAGCTAGAGACCTATCCCTGCCATTCATCCTAACCTTCCCTTCCCAGCCATTCCCCATCTCCTCCCTACCCTTCTTTTGGGTATTGCCTGGGTAGGAGACTGGCCTTGCAGTATCATCCAGACAAGAATCCAGGGAACCCTCAAGCAGCAGAAGTCTTCAAAGAGATCAACACAGCCCATGCTATACTGAGCGACCCTAAGAAGCGGAAAATCTATGACAAGCATGGCTCATTGGGAATATACCTGTATGATCACTATGGGGAAGAAGGAGTCACATACTATTTTACACTGAATAGTTGTTGGTTCAAGGTACACAAAATTTCTTCCTAGTCTCTGACCCTCTTCTCAGACAAAAGTTTCTATTGTCTCATTTTCTGGGTGTGAGGAGGAAGGAAGGAGGGGAGCTTGAATGAAATACAGAAGAACTGCTGGATTGAGGGCCACCTTCTACCTTTTAGACACTTGTCCTCCTCTGTGCACTGCTCACTTGTTGTTGTTGCTGCTGCTGCTGCTGTTTTTGCTGTGGAGCCCTACAACCACCTTCTGAGGAGACGAGTAAGAGGAAATATCAACAGAATGTCCGTACTCAGCCTAGGAGAGCAGGTGAGGACCACAGGCTGGGACTGAGGTCAGATCTGGATCAGGAATGAAAGAAATGGTTGGGCGTAAGAAAGACCTGTGAAAATGGCAGGTCAGCCTCTAAATATGGCAGTTTCAAGTCTGGAATTGAGGCAAAGTGAAGAAAGGGAATGCATTTGATGTTTTTCTGTGGACCTCATGCCACAGACTGACAGCTTGAATATAATGATGGCCTCTCCTGACTGTTAAGCTAAGGAATGAGGTGGGAGAACAATAGCTGAGGACAGTTTCGAGGTTGCAGTTTATTGTATCTGCTCAAAAGAAAGATGAACTGAGGTTGTAACTCTTGTGCAAAATGAAGAATGATATATCTGAGATGATTCCTACCCCAAATTGTTAAAACTTTAAAATGGTGGATTGGCTGAGGTTTACACCAGTGCCACCTTGTGATGCTAATGAGTAACTGCAAGGTAATGGTTTTCTCATCTGTATATTAAAAAATCGTTAATAGGAAGGCACAGTGGAGCACCTCTATAATCCCAGCAGCTCAGGAGGCTGAGGCAGGAGGATCGCAAGTTCAAAGCCAGCCTCAGCAAAAGATAGGTGCTAAGCAACTCAGTGAGATCCTGTCTCTAAATAAAATAAAAAATAAGGCTGGGGTTGTGGCTCAGTGGTCAAGTGCCCCTGAGTTCAATCCCCTGTACCAAAAAAAAAAAAAATGTTTATATGTATAAATATGTGTGTAATTCCATCATAGGAGCAAGAAATAGCTCTTCAGATGATGACGATAGTGATGATTAATAAAATATGAAGAAGATTGAGGTATGTACACTGAAAAGCAGCAATAATTAAAGAAGAGAAGCGTATAAGCTAACTTGAGATGAGTCCTTGGTGGAAAGTTTATATCTTTATAGCATGGGCTCCAGGTGTTTATATCCTTACATAGAGGGTTTGCTTTAAATTCTGCATGATTTTTCTTTGTCATTAATAAGGTGCCAACTTCTTCTGCCATTAGGTGCTGGCCCAATTGAGGGTGCCCTCTGCTACCCAGTCCACTGGACATTGAAGAGAGGAGCAAGTAGCCCTGTCCTGATGTTGACCCCAATTTGACTCCTCTTATAAGAACCTCTACATTAAAAGCATTGATAATGTCCATCCCAGTAAGAACACCATCGCTGCCCTCTATGGTACCACTAACTCTGGCCATATGGGGTCTCTCAGCTACTCTTCATTTTAGCCCCAGTCCTACTTTTAATCTGTGAGAGAGCAGCCCTCCCTTCCCTACCTGTATGAGGTCTCAGGCAGTGATGGCAGAATTTTCCTGAGGATTCTTTTCCCCGGTGTCTGCCTTGGCATTTAAGCCAATGTCAGGCAGGACCCTGAACCACTTGCAGCATCTCCACCAAGATTCTGATAGTAGAGCATGGTGGGTTCTATTCCTGGAGCTGCTGCACCAGTTAATCCTCCTTTGCTGCATCTCGTAGCATCAATCAGCCTCATTTCTAAGCCAATACATTTCTCTGAGGCTGGTGCCCATACCATGGGTGTTGCAGCCTCATCTCTGCCACCAAAAGTCAACTTGGGAAACACATGGGTGCATTTGAGACTTACGGGTAGCCATCCCATCACGGATTCTCCTTGACATCACTTACCAGCACAGCAGCCATTGTTAGCCCTGGTTCATGGGGTTGACTGCAGTCCCCATGACAGTGCCTGCTTGCCTCTGTCCTTCACCAAATCTTGTGCATCTTATACATTTTGTTCTTAAATCAGGGACTGAAACATGATGGGAAAAGCTTGTGCTTTACAATTGTTCCTTCCCCACTCTTGCCTCTTTGGCATCCTCTCCACATCATTTATTTCTCATCCATGCAGGGTCAGGGGCGAGGCACTTCTCTTCTCTCCCTTACTGGGGAATATCAGTAAGGGAATATTAGTAAATAAAAGAACTTTTGTGCAATCCCAGTGCATGTGTTGGGCCCGAAAAAAGACAAGTTGTGCTGTAATAGAGAAAACGGCCAATTGGTGGAAAAGACAGGACCTGTGCTTGCATCTGGGATGAGCCCGGCATGGGAAGTAGAGTCCAGGACAGCGGTGGAGTTGGGGCCAAAGTTTCCCAGAACCTAGTGACTCCGACTTCGTCAGAGCTCTAAGATTTCCCCGGATACTGATTCCCTGGTGCCCAAAATAGGTCCTAGCATTCGAATCTCCCAGCTTCTCCCAGTTTCCAAGCAAATTTGGTCTTTGGAGTGGCCTTAGTGACATGTTTGTGGACCAGAATCACACTTCTCCAGGGACATGCTCATATGACCTGGAGCAGCAGCCACCTCTAGCCTCTGTAGCTGCTTTCCTAGGGTGACATAAAAAAAGGGCTGGGCAAGAACAATCACAGGCCTGAAGTTTGGGACAAGAGGCTCTCTCCCTAGTCTCTGGTGCCTCTCTTCTGAATCACACAGTCTTGCGGAGGAGTGCCAGGGTCACTGGCTAAGCCTGAGGAGAAGACTGTAGATCCAGCCAGGTCGTTCCTCCCACCCTGAGCCATGTGTGGTGCTTCTCCCGCAACCTGATTTAGAGACTGCCACTGACTGTATGAAGAGGCCATGCCAGAGCATAGGGGTCCAGGGCTCACAGGAGCCTTCACAGCGAGAGCCAGAGAGGAACCCACACCTTTGCTGGTCACTATGTATCAGTAGTGACACTTGCCCCGGTTGTTGCTCCAGGGAGTCACCCATTCCTGAGTGAGTCAGGGTCATTTACTCCGCTGACAGCTGTGGCTCGCCTTACATGAGCTAAATTGGGAGTTGGAATGTCACACAGATGCCCCTTGTCTCCCCACCCCCACGATAATATTAATCTCCTCTCTGGGGAGCAAGGGACAAACAGTGCTGCCCAGAGTGAACCAGAGTGGTTTGGGGAACAAAAGGAGAATCGCCCAGGGAGGGAAGGATAAAGCTACATGTGCCTGGCAAGGACACCAAGCAAAGAGCAGACGTGTCTGGAGACAGCCAGGGCAGGACGAGTTTCAGAGGAAGGGACAGAAGATAGAGCAGCACTATTTTAAGAGGGAGCACCAGAAGGGAGCCTAAGAACCCACAGATAGTCTGAGGTGAACAAGGAGGGTCCAGAGGCAGTAGAGAAGGCCAGGACCAGGGCCGCAGCCAGGGCCAGCAGAGCACTGAGGGGATGAACTTCACCGTGGGCTTCAAGCCGCTGCTCGGGGATGCGCACAGCATGGACAGCCTGGAGAAGCAGCTCATCTGCCCCATCTGCCTGGAGATGTTCTCCAAGCCCGTGGTGATCCTGCCCTGCCAGCACAACCTGTGCCGCAAGTGCGCCAATGATGTCTTCCAGGTGGGCTCAGGGCAGGGGTGGTGAGGAACCCCAGAGGGTGCTGGGCAGAGTGCTCTGGGAGGTGGGTGGGGCCACGGTGGCTAGGAGCAGAAGAGCTGGGGTCCTAGGATCCCAAAGTAAGCATGAGTCAGCATTTGCCCTGCAGGCTGGCAAGCATAGCCTGTGCCACAGTAGCTGGAAGGCTGGCATCCACAGGGGACAGCGTGCCCAGCACAAACTGGGTGGAGGTGGTCTCACACTGGCCTCTGTGGGTGCCACACTAAACTCTGCATTCAGTTTGGGGTTTCAGATTTCGAGATCCTTGTGGAAACTCCAGAGAAGAAATCAATGAAATGCTGAAACATTCAGAATGAAATAATAAATCCTGTGACGAAGCCCCAAATGACACCAGAATTACAGTAAAGCCCAAGGCATCAGTTTTGGGGGACAAAGTTTGACCTAATGACAGGATACTGGGATTTCTCCCCAACTTCAGCTCACACCTGTGACCCTTCTAGACTGTTCAGTAAAGAGGCCTAGAGGCTAACAGCTATTGAGGTCAAGACTTACCACACAGAAGGCAGAGAAGAAATTCCCCAAAGTGCAGCCAGTTTTGGTTCATCTTTGGTCATAGAGCATAGTTGAGCAAAGTCACAGATATCATTTTGGTACTGATTTCAAAAATAAAAGCAGCATATACCAGAATGGTTTATAAATGGAGGTTCAAGTACAGATCAGAGGTTGGGGAGAGTGATGGGCAGTTTGTGTGTGTGTGTGTGTGTGTGTGTGTGTGTGTAGATGCATGGGTACACCCAAAACCTTGAAAATGAAATGAAAATTCTTATCTAGATAAGAGCCATTTGGCTTAGTATGCATTTCAGTGATAAAGCATCATAAATAAGTATTCTTCAATATTGTTAGTATGAGGAAATGTGCCAAGCACACAAGTAATTTATTTCTTTTTCTTTTCTTTTCTTTTTTTTTTTTTTTTGTGTGTGTGTATATTGTGAGTTGAATTCAGGGCCTCAAGCATGCTCTATCATTGAGCTACACTCTAACCCCAACACAAATGATTTTTTTTTTTGTATCAGAGATTGAACTCAGGGGCACTTAACCACTGAGCCACACACACAGCCCTTTTTTATTTATTCATTTATTTTTATTTATTTTTTGAGACAGGTTCTCATTAAGTTGCATAGGGCCCCCCTAAGTTGCTGAGGCCACTCTCAAACTTGCAACCCTCTTTTCTCAGCCTCCCAAGTTGTTGAGATCACAGGTGTGTGAAGTGATTTTTTTTGTAATTTATTTTTTAATTTTAGATGGACACAATATATTTTTTATTTTTATATGGTAGCTGAGGATCGAACCCAGTGCCCCATGCATGCTAGGGGAGCGCTCTACCTCTGAGCCACAACCCCAGCCCAACCCAAGTGATTTTTAACTTAACTAAGAAAATACTTATCTTTTAGATTCCTTGGGGCAGATGTTTGGGGGAAAAAATGGAATAACTAAACCAGGCCATCACACATTATTGCCATCTCCACTGGGTGTCCACCAACCTGAAGTTTCTCCTGCTATCTTCCTGCTGAGACCCCTTCCCATCTCCTTTTATTCTGAGTGTTCAAATGTGGCTCCAGAGCCATGCCTTTCCCTCTCTGGGGGCCTAGACTGAATGCTATGCCCCCTCACCCCAGGCTTCAAGTCTTGTCCACCACCTTGGTATTTCCTTTGGTCTAACTAACTCTCTGAACATTCTTCAGGCTGAGATGCCTGGGAAGGAATTGCAGAAAGACTTTGCCACCCTTTCTTAGGAATTTATAGTGAAATATCCTCTCTTCTAATGAACCTGAAATATATAAATCAAAGAGAAGTTTGCAAAGTTAAGTTAACATGTCCTCTAAAAAACTGGCCAGCATGTTAAAATACAAATCATACAGTGTTATCTGACAGTAGGACCCATGAAAAGAACCTGTATACAGAGGCAAGAAGAAGTTGAAGTGTCCCCCATTATTGGAGGCAATCCTCTGTATACAGGAGCACTGTTTGGGTTCCAAGAAGCTCTAGAATACTGATATGGGCCCAGAGAGACTCGGAGATGGTCTGAGTCAAACCCTATGCAATATCAGGACACATTGGTTTGCTTCTGTAGTCCCAGCTACTTGGGAGGCTGAGGTGGGAGAATTGCTTGAGCCTAAGAGTATGAGGCCAGCTTGAAAAACACAGCAAGACAGTGGCTCAAAACCAAACAACCAAAAACCAACAAGCAGGCAAACAAAACTTGTGCTGACTCTTTGGGAAGTAACATGATTCCCAGGACTCAGGAATGGTTCTATGGGTCTGGAGTGGTATACAGCATTGGAAGTGCAGAGCACCCCTGAACCCTCCACAGAGAGCAGAGAACATCTGCCTTCCTTGCTGCTTTATTTGGGAGGGCTTGGGGGAGGCTGACCCAGTTACCCAGCTGCATGTATATGCCTCCTGGCAGAACTCAGCAGATCTCTGTCTGAAAGATGAGCATATTTAGTTTTTTCACACATTGCCTCCACATTTTGACAACTCCAGGCATAATCAGATTGTTTTCTAAGTATGGCGACAAGAATAGGACTTTGAGTTCCTCTATCTTCAAACCACTTAGGAAGAAAACCTTTAGAACATTGCCTAGAAAGTTAACAGTTATGAAAGTGACACCAGTACACCATATTTAAACTTTCCTATGTACATTTCTTCCAAGCACCATAGGAGTTTATATCATGAAAAATGAATCTGCTACTTACCTTAGCCCCTCAGTTCTCTTCACCAGATAGAAGCAACCATTACCAACTTTATTGGGAATCCTTCCAGGAAATGTTCACACTTAGGTCCATGTTTGCACATATAAACATACTTACACTGGACTAATGGCCTTGTTCACTTTGCCATGCTTGTTCCATAACCACACATTCAGCTCTCTGCTTTCCTCTTTTTTAAATATATTTTTTTTAGTTGCAGATGTATACAATACCTTTATTTATTTGTTTATTCATTTTTTATGTGGTGCCAGGGATCAAAGCCAGTGCCTCATGCAGGCTAGGCAAGTGCTCTACCACTGAGCCCCAGCCCCAGCCCTCTGCTTTCCTCTTGAATAGTGGTCTAATGTTCCATTGCAATGAGTGGAGCACAGTCTATCTAATCCATCCTCTAGAGCCTGAAGATGGTTTTCAGTTTTTGCTGGGCTAAAAACTTCTATGATGGACAACAAATAGGAATTGGGGGGAAATGTGACCTTGTAAAATGAGGTTTGCTAGACAGCCAGGAAGAAAACTTTGAATAAAATATTTAGTTGAAAATGTTGAACAGGATTAAGGATTTGGGAGAAAATCAGCCATAATCCCCCTTTAACCAATCTAATTTTCTTCTTCTTCTCCTTCTCCTTCTCCTTCTTCTTCCATATTACTTTCAAGTCCTTATCCCCACACATATTTTCACATAGTTGCCATTATAATGTGACTACTTCTCTTTAGAGCTATAACACATCTCTCTTTCTCCCTGAACTGAAACAGAAAACAGTAAAATATGACATTAACGCTCTCTAATTTCTCCCTCCCTCTTTCTCTGCACTTGCACCCACTCAGCTACTGAGAATTTTGACTACAGCAAAGCTGTTGGTGTGGGAATTTGACACAAACATCTTCCCATGTGTTTCTGTATTTGTAAACTCTATTCGCGTCTGAACTACTTTAAAGCAAGCCTTCAGTTTATTTTTGTATCTGCCCCCACTTTACTGTGGGCACTTACTTGTTTGAGCTGCAACCTGTTGTAGCTCAGCAGAAGGTCTTGTAAGAAGGTTGCAGCTTTTATGGAGGAGGTTCTGCTACAGAGGGACTTGCAGAGAGGAATAGCAATGAAGAGACCTCCTTCTCCAGAAAAGGGTGGTCCGACAGAGAGGAGACCTTGGTTTCACTCCAGTCCTATTCCAGCTATCAGTTAATTGTCTGGACCTGGTGTCACCAGGTAGAAGCTTCCGGTGAAAATCCCAGCAGCCTGTCTCCTGGATCCCATGTACCTGCTGCCCAGATCACTAGAACTTCTTAGCTCTGCCTTGGGCAGGTCTCTTGTATGAGAAACTGGTTCACCAAAATTTTGTAGTTGTGTTAACCCACTAGCAGTGCTCTAACTTCTGTAGGGAAGAAGCTTGGTTTCATGGGAACAAAAACCTAGACTGAGGTTTAGCACTCCTGGCACCACTGTCATTGGTAATTAGACACATGACACAAAGCAAGAGGCTATCTGGGCACAGTGGCATATACCTGCAATCCCTGCTACACAGGAAACTGAGGCAGGAGGATTATAAATTCAAGGTCAGCCTGGGCAATGTAGTGAGACCCTGTCTCAAAATAAAAAGGGCTTGGGCTGGGGTTGTGGCTCAGTGGTAGAGCACTTGCCTAGCATGTATGAGGCACTGGGTTCAATTCTCAGTACTGCATATAAATAAATGAGTAAAATAAAGGTTCATCAACATCTAAAATTTTTTTTTTAAATAAAATAAAAAGGGCTCAGTGGTAGAGTACCCCTGGGTTCAATGTCCAGTACAAAATACAAACAAAGAATAGCCTGTTTACACATCTTTAGATTAAAAGGGTATTATAAAATGATTTTAACAACCCTTGTAATTCTACCAATCTGCTTTCACAAATTCAAGAAATATGATTTTTTAAAGGATTTTCCATTCTGTACCTAGCATTCCCACTTGGCCTCCTCTTCTGCTTCTCTGTGGTCTGTTTGGTAGCAGGGCTCAGTTTGTCACCCCGTGAAGGGGCAGGGGCTCTTCCCTAGACTCTGTCAGTCATGGCTAGCCCTGTTCTCAAAATCCCTGTTAAAGCTGCTGCTCAGCTTTTACTGAAACCTGGATTCTTCCAAGGCTTTGCAACTTTTCTCCAAATGTCTGGACTTCTGCCCACCACATTCCTGTAGTTTCTCCAGTGTGTTCTGAGGTCTGACTCACAGAACCTGCCTGGTCCACCATTTCTCACTGGCAGATCATC